TTAAAATTTACAGAAATGGCATTTAGGATTATTTCCAATTTGTCACATATTCTGACTAATATTCCAAAAATAAATCCCTGGGCAAGAGAAGAGGTGATGAAGTTGGGAGTCTTGCAAGATGTCATTATTCTTTTTCATATTATCTCATATAACTTAAGTATATAGGTAGCTGATTCTAAGAGCATGATAAAAATGATTGAAATGGAACTTATAAAAGTAAAAAATATGGCTCTCCCCAACATTTGATTCTAAATATAGCAGTTTAGAGCTTACATTTACCTTCTAATTATTAACAAAAACTTGTATAAAAGGAAATACAATTAGGATAAAATGATTTAAATTTCAGTTTAGCTTTATGAAAACTACAAAAAACTTCTATAAAATGTCACTATATGATCAATCAGTTTATAGGGATTCATAGAGAACTTTCTATGTGCTTTGCCTGTAGGCCTTAAAAAAGAAGCATAAATTTGGCTTTTGCCCTCAAAGCATTTTTATCCCAGTTGGGAACAGAAAACTTACACACATGACACACAGAAAACAGAATAAGATATTAAAGTGCTACAAAAGTTGACGGAAAAAAGGTAAACAAGAACAAAGATGCATACACAAAAGAAACTATTAAGTTGGTCCTTAAAGGATAAATATCATTTTGGATAGGTGGAAAACGAATGAAAGTATTTTAGGAGGAAAGAGTCATATGAACAAAAGTATGATATTAAGAATAGACACATTATGGGATACATGATAAAAGATGAATTCTATGAAATACAAGAGGAATGTGAAAAAACACAGGCTTTGGGAGATCACACAGGTGGATGATTTAAATTTCTCTTTCACCCATGCTAGTTGTGACACGCACCAAGTTATGTACTTCTGTGAATCTCAAGTTTCTTTATACATAAAAAGATAACTGAAATACCTACCTGGCAGGGTACTTTTAAAAATTTAAAGCTATAATATATGTAAAGTACCTAGTACAGTGCCTACCTTGCACAAGAGTTGCACACAGTAAATTAGAATTCCACTTCTCTATGCTGGAGAATAGTAGAAAATTAGATTGCTTAGGTAGGTAAAATTGGGTTCCAGAAACTCCCTAAAAACTAGGGATTCAGGATAGATGAAAGAGGGACACTGATAAAAGTGATTTTAAAGAAATAAACTGGCATATTAGGAGAATGAGAACTTAGAATCAACGGGTCTGGCTAAACTACTGCAGTCCCAGCATACAGAAAGCTGGACCTGACCACAGCAATGCAGGAAACAAAGAACACTATTTCTCAGCAAAGAATGACCAAGTTTTAGAACACTGATTAAATATGAAGAATGAAAGAAGGATGAATCAAAAACAAGACTTTTGATTCCATGTAACAGGGATAAAGGTAGCACAAAGCTACAATATCAGGAAAAAGAAAGAAAACATGATTCTAAATTCCCTAAAGTTGTCTAAATTAGAGAATTAATCTTAAGACTTCTATAAATGTAGTTTTCAATGCAATTAATCATCAGTACATGTAGAGGTAGAACTGAGAGGGGAAAATGTTTGGGCCTGAAAGACAGGTACTGGATAAGAAAATGCAAATAAAGCCATGATTCTTAAAAAGTACCTTATATGTAAGTTTGCAAGTTGAGAGCTGCTCATCATTTTCTTTGTACGGATGGAAGAGGAGGAAATGACCCTAAAATGCCTACAGTATTGGAGAAGAAATTTACATGTGTCCAAGATGGAGTACTTCAGACTCCCTTCCTCTTGGCTTCCTTCATGTCTCCAATTCCCATCCAGTNGATGGGCATCCAGGTTGCTTTCATGTAGGACTACATTTTTAAAAATTTGCAAATCAAAGTACCATAATATTTTACCCACTTTAAATCCAAGCAAAACAATCCCAAAGGAAGAGTTAATTTCCAGTTCTCATAGGCATCATGGGAACAGGGTTACTGCAGAAGACAGGACATAATTCTGATACCATTTAACACCTGCAACCAAGTGTTTAGCCACAGTAGCAGTAGTGCCCTCTGCTCCTTTAACTCATGATTTTCAAAGTGTAGAAAGCAGAATTATTTCCCAGAAAACTTCAAATAATCTTATTGAACTAACATTTTAAAAGTTGTCAATATTCTACAAAAACTATGTGTTCATACTAATGATCATGTTCCATTCAAGTCAGCTAACACACCTTCATATCTTTTGAGTGCTGTTGACATTTACTAAGTTGAATGCTTTAATTACATATCAAAGTAATAAAAATAGTTCACTGATTCATGGAAGGATTAAAAGTAGCAATGAAAGTAGTAAATAATACAACTTATAAAAATAGCATTAATTTAAAAAATGAACAGGACTCTAATACAGTGAATACAGAATGTAAATTTGAGTATCAGGACAAAAGTGATATCATATAAGCAGCTAAAAAGGAAAATAATAGAAAATTAAAATACCAAAATTAGGCGCCTCTTGATGAAGGTGAAAGAGGAGAGTGAAAAAGCTGGCTTGAAACTCAACATTCAAAAAACTAAGACCATGGCATCCAGTCCCATCACTTCAAGGCAAACAGAGAAAACATGGAAACAGTGACATATTTTATTTTCTTGAGTGCCACAATCACTGCGGATGGTGACTGCAGCCACGAAACGAAAAGACATTTGCTCCTTGGGAGAAATGCTATAACCAACCTAGACAGCATATTAAAAAGCAGAGACATCACTTTGCCAACAAAGGTCCATATAGTCAAAGCTATGGTTTTTCTAGTAGTCATGTATGGATGTGAGAGTTGAATCATAAAGAAGGCTGAGCACCAAAGAATTGATGCTTTTGAACTGTGGTGCTAGAGAAGACTCTTGAGAGTCCCTTGGACAGCACAGAGATCAAACCAGTCAATCCTAAAGGAAATCAACCCCGAATATTCACTGGAAGGACAGATGCTGAAGCTGAAGCTCCAATACTTTGACCACTGATGCGAAGGGCTAACTCACTGGAAAAGACCCTGATGCTGAGAAAGGCTGACAGCAGAAGGAGAAGACGGCAACAGAGGATGAGATGGTTGGATGGTATCACCAACTCAATGAACATGAGTTTGTGCAAACTCTGGGAGGTAGTGAAGGACAGGGAAGCCTGGCATGTTGAAGTCCATGGGGCTGCAAAGAGTCAGACATGGCTTAGCAACTGAACGACAACAAAGACACCAACTACTTGAAATTTCAATTTACTGAATCATCAGTCTATTTGTTCCTAGTTTTCTGCTATGAAATATGGTCAGACCTAAAGACATAGCTTTTGTTTCACTTTAAAGTGCAGTGACCTATATGAGTTTTTCCAAAACAAGTACCAAGTAATGCTTTGGAGAACAAAAGTGATGAATTTTGTTGCTAAAGAAAAAGTTAAAAAAAACAAACACAAAAGAGCACTCTTTATAGTGAAATCAAGTGCAAGTCAAACTATCACCAAGAGACTTATTATACCAGCCACAAGGTTAATGAGAAATATCACTTTCACAAACAAAAAACAGAACAAGCTATTGGCAAAATGCCTTTATCAAGTGGACTAGAGGATACAATGTGAGAAAACAATTAACTATGCACATGCTAGGAGATATTCCACTTCAGAGTTGGACAAAACCAGTGATATGTGGGGTCTGAATCAATACAACAGGAGAGAAATACACAGAATCTATTTTTCATTCAACATCCATTAGAAGAAAGTTTTCTATTATTTTGGGGCCATGATGTAAAATTTTAAAAAGGTAACACTGAAATCAGAACTGTGTATGCTAAGTCACCTCAGTCATGACAGACTGTGGGGCTCTATGGACTGTATTCCTTAAAACGTTAACTGCCACCTCGACTTTTATAAAATGTTCTAGCTCCTTGGTTTTTATTAAAACAAAAAATAGGTGCTGTCTAAAATTTCTGTTCCTGTAACAAATCTTTTTCAAAGTACACTTTCATTTTGGACATTAAGTACAATGTTCTCCTTTTATGTGGCAGAAACTTTTCTTCCGTTGACATGAGATTAACTAAGATCCAGTGCTTGCTCCTAAATATATGTAATGGATGCTTCTTTACTGTCTATCTTGTTGCTGTTTAATACAGCTATCAGATTTTATGTTGAGGCTTAGTTGATGTAAATTTATGTTATCACTTTGACGATTTAGGAGTAGGAAACTTTGTCTTGGTATTACTCTTCTGTATTTAAAATAGTCATATAACAGACAAGATTTCTATATCCAACTTTTCAATCGGCTCAGTTTGATTGCCATTCTTTTGGCAGTGGATATCCAGTTTTCCCAAAACCATTTGTTGTAAAGACATAGATGGAGTTTCTTACAGTGCTGTTGCCCTGTGTGAAGAATACCCACCACAACTGCATGCCTTCTGCCTACTAGTCAGTCTGGTCCCTTTTAAGATCTATTATTCCACACAGTAAAACAGATTCCAAGTGGTATACTGTCTATCAGTTCCAGAGCTTGCCTTCTCTCTACTTATCAGTGTAATTATCCCAGGAACTACGCTACTTCCCAGGACCTTGATTATTTTCCTACAAGTCAGACTTCCAAATAAGGTAACAGGTTTTCCTAAGTGATCCATCAATAGTATATCTAGTAGAAATTCCTCAAGGTTCCTCAGCCTTGGGTGACATTTTTATATAGGGTTAGGGCCAAGTTAACTATTTCTTCCTCCTAATTACCTGGTCATTTTGGCGATAATCAATGGGGGCAGGAACAAAGGCAATAAATATCTGGTCTTAAGTTTTCATATTACATCGAATTTATTTTGATGCAGAATTGAGCAGTTTTTCTTTATTAATTTTCCAGTGTCCCTTGGGCCACTGGGAGAAATTCTCTCTGGTGAAGACACTGGCAAATTCTATTACTGTCTAAACAAGTGTATCATTAATAATACTTGTAAACCAGAATAAAATCTGTCATAATGAATGCTCTAAAAGGAAAAAAAGAGTCAAATAATCCCCCTAAAATAAGACAATTTATCCAGTTTACCAGTACCTGGAAATATCCTTTTTGCACAGCTCTAGTGTAATAACAAATGCTTGTAATGATGAGCCTGAGGCACTACAAATTTCTATAGAAAATGTTATAATTAACATAGATTATGTTAAGAGCATGGTTTAGTACAGTTAAATTCTTTTAAAACTGAAACTCAAGCACAATAGGTATAGCCACTCCATTAAGCCAAACATCTGCTAAAATAATATTTCCAATAGATCAAATGACAGTTTAACAGATAAGAAAATAACTATTCATTTTTCATACATACAGCATCTCCTAGAGTACATTCCAAATTTAGTTTATTTTCCTGAATACCACAAACACAAAAAAAAGCTGATTGGTTTTATTAAATTATCTCTTTGATTTGGTTATTAATGACATTTATTTAATAGAGGCATAAAAGAAGAAAACATTGCATAAATAGGTTTAAGAAAACAAATGTCACAAACTATTTTACAACAAGACTGAAAAGGAAAAGTTTCCCCGCAAAGTCTTTCTTCTTTAAACAAAACTGTCACTGAGTATTTCTAGTTAGTATTGTTCTTACAAATATGATTTTCTTTACTTTAAATAATTTAATCCTGTTTTTCTACCTTCCCATCGCTACCTCATTTGTAAAAAGGCAGATGAAGTAACACCTCAGAAAATAACTGTCTGAAACTAACAAACTAACAAAAATAATAAATGTGTCTATCTGCTTTCCTAGTTAGATAAAAACCAGAACCTCTTATTAAAAGTAGCATACACATGTGAGTTAATCCAATATAAAATGCTCCTCGGAGGGGGGGACCGGGATGGGGAATACATGTAAATCCATGGCTAATTCATTTCAATGTATGACAAAAACCACTGCAATGATGTAAAGTAATTAGCCTCTAACTAATAAAAATAAATGGAAAAAAAAAATGCTCCTCAGAAGAGTAGCATCATGGTTGGATGCAATGCTATCTAAAAAATGCAAAAATTCACTGAAAACTAAAGCGAAACAACTTAATTTACTTAGCTGTACCTGCTCATCTCTTTGTCTCCACTCTTGCCAATTTTCTTCTCGTGAATCCTTCTGTACTGGGTTTGGTAATGAAAGCTCATGTTGAGCATTACAAATGGCATGGGAGGACTTCTGTGGAATTTTCTTAAAAGCAAGATTCCTGAGCTATGGAAAAAACAAACAAAAAAAATATTAAATTCAGTTTACCAATACTGGGATACTAATGATTTTTTGAAAGTTAAGAAATCAATATTTTTATACTTCTAAATACTCATTATGCTAACTCACAAAGTCATTATGTGAACTTTTGTAATCTTTGTAGAATTTCACCAGCATTTAAGAAAATTTTGGTGGACTTCTAGATGAAATGATTAATAAGTAAAAATGGATTATACTCTATTATACCACCATTTGAACCAATTTAATGATCCTGGTTTACTAAAGGGTTTATAGGAATAGAGAACAGGATAACAAGTGTGCTTTTATTTATTTATTTTTTCATTTATTTTTATTAGTTGGAGGCTAGTTACTTTACAATATTGTAGTGGTTTTTGTCATACACTGACATGAATCAGCCAAGATTTAACAAGTGTGCTTTTAAAATCCAAAAGAATAAGGTTCAATAAGATTAAATTTTAATGGCTTATAAATTTAAAAGTTTAAATAGTGAGAGCAGATAGCTTAAGGAACTCTAGCAACTACTTTGCTAGTCCTGAAAAACACAGAGCCTGTAACTAGCAATATATGGTTAGGAAAATACTTTAAATGGTTACAACAGTTCAGTGGGGAAAGAGGACAAATCAAAGCAGTCTGTCTTAGGTGATACAGATTGCTCTACAGGCATTAGTTAAGTTTGAGGAACTTTAAAATATGATGACAATAGACAGAGCAGTTCAAACATTCATGCCCCATGATTATCTCATTATAGATGTCTGCTGCTTACATTTAATGTAGAATGAGTTTCTAATGCAGCAGACATTAGCATCTACCCTAACAATGTTAGCAAGGTAAAAAGTTCCAGTGAGAACAGATGCTAATTTTGTTCCTCTTATATTGTAAAGACTGTAGCAGTTTCCTCTGTATCTCTAAAAGGGAAAAAACCAAAACTTGTAATCTAATAGTTTTAAAGATTTTTCCAATAAAAGCAATGGATAAGTTTTTTTAAAAAATGCAGGGCCTAGCCTACAAAGTAACATAATGAATTAAAACTGTACTGGCCAAGCCACTCCTAACAGTAAGAATAACCTGAGACACAGGTTGAAACAGGGAGAAATGCACTGAGAGGCTATTATGGATTAAATTGTATTCCCTCAAAAAATATGTTGTAAGCCTAACTCTTGCTGTCTGTGAATATAACCTCATTTAGAAAAAGGATCTTTGCAAATATAATCAAGTTAAGGTTAAACTGAACTAGGCTGGGCCCTAGTGAATGAAAGGTATAGACAAAAATATATATGAAGCCAAGGAACACTGAGGACTGACAGCTACCATAAGAAGCTAGGAAGAGGAGAGGAAAGGAAGGATTCTACTCAGAAAGAGCCTGGTCGTATTAACACCGTAGTTAGAACTTCCAGAACTGTTAAGAGAATACATTTCTGTTGTTTTAAGTCACCCAGTTTGTGGTATTTTGTTACAGAAGTCCTAAGAACCCAATAAAGAGGCTTTAAATCAAGGATCAACAATTTAACTGATAATCAACAGACCATTCTGCAGGAGGGAGTGATGAGATACAAACACTGCTTTAAGTAAGTGGTTTCTGCTGTGGGAAAGCCAGAAGAGGAGATGCTGCTAGAGATGAAGCCATGGCAGGTTCAGTGCTTATTTATTACAGAAAATAGACTGACAGAACTATACCTGCGCAAGTGGGAAGGGAGGATCCTCAGGCTCATTCTCAGTAATGCAAATGTAAATCCCACTATTACCTTATTTTCTGTTACCCCAAATTATCTTTCATTTCAAAAAGAAATGGTAGGCAATCAAAAGTTCTGTAAGACTGGACTTCTGAAAGGTTATATAGTGAGAAAAATGTCTTTTAAAAAAGTGACCCTGTGTGGCAAAATTTTAAAGAGATACTCAGAAAGCAATGGTGATGGAAATTAACAAATTGAAAAGGCTTTTCCACAGTCTTGGGATATTATAAAATGAATATATAGGGAGAAAAAAACACTTTTACTACTTCTCTTATTCAGTGGTAGAGAAAGGTCCTTATATACCTACTGCTCTATTAAAAGACAAACACAGGCTAGAGATGTTTTTCAGTATTTCTTTTAAAAATAAATGGGCACATTACATGTTGGTCATATAACTCAAGCTAGGAGTATTTACCAACAGACTGGTTCCAAATAGAAAAAGGAGTACGTCAAGGCTGTATATTGTCACCCTGCTCATTTAACTTATATGCAGAGTACATCATGAGAAACACTGGACTGGAAAAAGCACAAGCTGAAATCAAGACTGTNAAGAGCTGACTCATTGGAAAAGACCCTGATGCTGGGAGGGATTGGGGGTAGGAGGAGAAGGGGACAACAGAGGATGAGATGGCTGGATGGCATCACCGACTTGATGGACATGAGTTTGAGTAAACTCTGGGAGTTGGTGATGAACAGGGAGGCCTGGCGTGCTGTGATTCATGGGGTAGCGAAGAGTCGGACAAGACTGAGCGACTAAACTGAACTGAGGAGTATTTAGATGAGAAGGATCTGCCATGTACTTACTACCCTTAAGAAACAGATGGCAAACAAATGCATAAAAATGTATGCATTTCAAGGCTAGTCATAGGATTATTATCTATAATAATTAAAAAAATGGGAAACCTAAATGTTTATCACAATAGTCTGATTAAGTAAACTATGACAAAGCCACATACTTTTAAATAATGTGGAGTCATTTAAAATAATGTTGATTTTTATTTACTCACATGGAAAACTGCTCATGCTAATTTTTAAAAAACCAGTTATAAAAGTCTATTATATAATCTAATTTTCATTTAAGTTAAATATGAATGTAGATATATGTCTGTGCACGTCTATATATTCAAAAAAACATATATATGTGTACAGAAAACACATTCCAAAATATTAATTTGTTATATCTCTAGTTATAGTCACTAGAGAACAAATATTTTTATTTTATATTCACAATTGATCTGTTTCTTTTTCTATATTTTTTATTTTATATTCACAAATGATCTTTGTTTCATTTTAAGACTGCCTCTGTTTTTCAGGAACTTTCTGGAAGGAGCACATAAGCTTCCATAGACAAGGAAAAGAAAGGCATTCCATATGTTCATTACATTAGACTTCAAATACCCACAAATTCATATATTTATATATATTATAGTCATAATTACCAAGTACCTATGGACCAGGAACTGTGGATACATGGATCAACAAGATAGTAACTGTCCTCTTCATGCTTACAATCTACTGAGAAAGCAGACATGAAATATAATTGCTACCTCATTTGCTTCACTCTGCTGCTGTTCCTTCTTTTTTCTTCTTTTCTCTCTTTTTTTCTCATTTGTAGTTGATTTATTTGTTTGAGACTTTCCAGTATTTCGACCTTTGCCTTTTCCAGGCTCAGAATCAGAACCACTGCCACTATCCACTTGCAACAAGGCAAAACGAGATGCAGTAGTGGGAACAGAACTAAGTACTGCTGAGGCCATTATAAAGATTTTTCTTTCAAAATACTTCTGTCAAGAATAATTCCTGTGGGAAGGGAGAAAGGAGGCAGATGAGTAAACACAGTAAAATCTGTTTCTAGATTTTACTGTTTTATATTTCAGAACAAACAGAAACACACACACACACTTCTCCTGACACTGGATTTAGTAAATTTGGATTCATACCCACAGTCCTACTGGCAATAACATACTTTTTAAACTTAAGTATACAACATAAAATTGCATAATATAAAACAAAAAATTATATACTGAGATTTCACAATTATTACAAGGCTACCACCAATATAATTATTTTTCCATTCAGTTTCCAAAAATTAGTGACTTTCCTCTTTCTTTTAAATACGCCACCATAGCTACATAGCCACTCCATGGGATCCCAAAGAGTAGGACACAACTGAACAACACACACACACATAAAACAGAAGCCCAGTAAGTTCTCAGGGGTGTGACATTTCTCACCCGCCCACTTGTCAACCTCACAAGGGTCCTGGTCTAAAAAAATCACTTCTTACCTATCAAAAATAAATAAATAAATATGCCACCATATATCTATGAAGAACATCCTAAGTCTGCCATAATACGTATATATATTTCTGGAAAACATCCTAAATCAATACAGTTTATTAATACAATGAAAAAGTACATATATCATTTCACTGCACTAGAGATCACTGGTCCTGCTGCTGCTGCTGCTAAGTCGCTTCAGTGGTGTCTGACTCTGTGCCACCCCATAGACGGCAGCCCACCAGGCTCCTCCTTCCCTGAGATTCTCCAGGCAAGAACACTGGAATGGGTTGCCATTTCCCTCTCCAATGCATGAAAGTGAAAAGCGAAAGTGAAGTCGTTCAGTCGTATCCGACCCTGAGTGATCCCATGGACTGCAGCCCACCAGGCTCCTCCATCCATGGGATTCTCCAGGCAAGAGTCCTAGAGTGGGCTGCCATTTCCTTCTCCCACCACTGGTCCTACTACATGCTTATCCTTAACTTTGAAGACAGGGAAAAAGGAGTAGGAAAGGAAGAACATTCTTATATACAAATTCTGCCTTAAGTTTGATTCTAGAGTGATGGCAAAATAGAGAACTTACCCTGGAGAAGGGAATGGCAGCCCACTCCAGTTATCTTGCCTGGGAAATCCCATGGACAGAGGAGCCTGGCGGGCTGCAGCCCACGGGGTCGCAAGAATCAGTCAGATACAACTTAGCAATTAAACCAATGCCACCACCACACATGCAAAACCTGAAAATATTCATAACCAGGAGAACCACACATCAAGAATTACTGAAAGAGGTTCTTTAAGTTACAGGGAAAATCATTCCAGATAGAAATGTGGCTCTTCACAATAGACAGAAGAATACTGGAAATAGTAACTACAATGATTAAGTTCATAAAATTTTCTTCTATATAAATGTCCCTAAAGCATGACTATTATAACAAAAATTATATATATATAAATTATATATAAGAAAAACTATATAATATATAAATTATATATAATATAAAACATATTCTACAACAAAGATAGCATATATTTTTATAACATACATGTAAAAATAATTTTTTTATTTATATAAAAATAATATACATGTTGTTACTTCAATAGTTAAAAAAAGAGAACTTAAATTCTCTCAACCAAAGGACACTTTTCAAAATCACCTTCTACCATTATCTTTCAGTTAACTAATCTCAGTGCACCCTATGTCTTTCAGCTTTTTTTTCTTTTATTGTAGCTAATTTACAACGCTGTGTTAATTTCAAGTGTACAGGGAAATGATTCAGTTATTTATATACATGTATATATTTTTACTCAATTATTTAAATATATATATATATTATTTATGGGGCTTCCTGGTGGCTCAGTGCTAAAGAATCCACCTGCCAATGTAGGAGATGCTGGTCTAATCCCCATGTCAGGAAGATCCCCTGGAGAAGAAAATGGCAACCCACTCCAGTTTTCTTGCCTGGGAAATATTGTAAACAGTGCCCAATGTTCACAGCAGTGCTATTAACAATAGCCAAGACATGGAAACAACCTAAATGGCCATCAAGAGATGAATGGATAAAGAAGATGCATGTGTGTGTGTAGACTTGTGTAATCCAAGTCATCTCTTTGTGATATACAAATACAACGGAACAATACTCATCCATAAAAAAGAATGAAATAATGACACTTGTAACAACATGACCTACATATGATCATATTAAGTGAAGTAAACATGACAAAGACAAATATCATATCACTTATATGTGGAATCTAAAAAAGTAATACAAATGAATTTATTTACAAAACAGAAATAGACTCATAGACATAGAAAATGAACTCATACTTATCACAGCTGATAGAAGGGGTGAGGGGAAGATTAAATTGGTTTGGGATTAACATATTCACACTATGATATATAAAAGCACCTACTGTATAGCAGAGGGAACTATATTCAATCTGTAAACAAGGGTGCTATAAAAACCGAGTGCCTTCATGGATCACAGCTCTGTCGTGGCACAGGGGCTCGCATACCTCAATGAAGCTACGAGCCATGCTGTGCAGGGCGGCCCGAGACGGAAGGGTCACAGTGAAGAGTTCTGACAAAATGTGGTCCACTGGAGGAGGATACAGTAAATTATTACTGACTCAAGAAGCCCATTAACAGTATGAAAAGGCAAAAATATATGACACCAGAAGATGAGCCCCCTAGGCTAGAAAGTGTCCAATACACTACTGGGGAAGAGTGGAAGGCAATTACTAACAGCTCCAGAAAGAATGAAGCAGCTGGGTCAAAGTGGAAACAATGCTCAGTTGTGGACGAATCTGGTGATGAAAGTAAAGTCTGACACTGTAAAGAACACCACTGCATAGGAACCTGGAATGTGAGGGCCATGAATAAAGGTAAATTGGACATGGTCAAGCAGGAGATGGCAAGAGTGAATATCGACATCTTAGGAAATCAGTGAACTAAAATGGATGGGAATGGGCAAATTTAATTCAGATAACCACTACATCTACTACTGTGGGCAAGAATCCCTTAGAAGAAAAGGAATATCTTTCATCATCAACAAAAGAATCTGAAATGAAGTACTTGGGTGCAACCTTAAAAATGACAGAGCGATCTCAAATCATTTCCAAGGCAAACCATTCAACATCACAGTAATCCAAGTCTATGCCCCAATCACTGATGCCAAAGAAGTTGAAGTACCAGTTCTATGAAGACCTAAAAGATCTTCTAGAATTAACACCAAAAAAGATGAAAGATGTCCTTTTCGTCATTGGGATCAGAAGGCAAAAGTAGGAAGTCAACAGATACCCAGAATAACAGTCAAGTTTGGTCTTGGAGTACAAAATGAAGAAGAACAAAGGCTAACAGTTTTGTTAAGAGAACATGCTGGTCACAGCAACCCCCCTTTTCCAACCCAAGGGATGTCTCTTCACATGGACATCACCAGATAGTAAATAATGAAAACAGACTGATTATGTTTTCTTTGCAGCCAAAGATGGAAAAGCTCTATACAGTCAGTGAAAACAAGACCTGGAGCTGGCTGTGGCTCAGATCAAATTTCAGGCTTAAAATTAAGAAAGTAGGGAAAACCACCAGACCATTCAAGTATGACCTAAATCAAATCCCTTATGATGATACAATGGAGGTGATGAACAGACTCAAGGGATTAGATCTGGTAGAGACAGTGACTGAAGAACAATGGACAGAGGTTCAGGAGGCAGTGATCACAACCATCCCAAACAAAAAGAAATGAAAGAAGGCAGGGTGGTTGTCTCAGGAGGCCTTACAAATGACTGAGGAAAGAGGTGAAGCAAA